TCTCTCTCTCTCTCTCTGTCTCAGAAATAAACATTAAAAAAATTTTTTTAAAGACTCTTTTTCTCCCTCTTCCTCTGCCCCTCCCTCTCCACCTCCACTCCTCCCTCCCCTTGCACATACTTTCTCTCTCTCTCTCTCTCAAATAAATAACTAGATATCTAGGTAAATAGATAAAAACAGCCAAAGCCAATCCAGCCTCCTTTCTCATTCTGTCATCTAAGTTTCACTGTCTCCTCTCTCTCTTTTCCATCTTTTTTCCTGTCTCTCTCTTTCCCCCTCTCCCGCCCCTCACACATGCAATTGGCAACAGTGAACACCAGAAAGCAGTCATCCAGAGTGAGAGAAGGAGCTTGCTCACTCATGAATGTCGGACAGACCTGGATTCAGTTCCCACCACTACCTTCCACTGACTGAGATCACCACATACCACATTCATTCTCAGAGCCTCAGAAACCTCCCTTGGAAAAACAGGCATGCTTACCACTCAGAAATAAAATGACAACCTCATTTTAAAATCGTCAAAAGGGGGCACCTGGGTGACTCAGTCCGTTAAGCTTCTGACTCTTGGTTCCTGCTCAGGTCAGGATCTCATGGTTAGTGAGTTCGAGCCCCAGGTCTGGCTCTGTGCTGACAGTGCAGAGCCTGCTTGGGATTCTCTGTCTCCCGTTCTTTCTCTCCACTCCTCTCCCGCTTGTGCTCTCTCTCTCTCTCTCTCTCAAAATAAATAAACTTAGAAAAGACTTAATTTAAAATAAAATTGTCAAAGGATTTGAATAGACATTTCTCTAAAGAAATGGTCAGTAGTACTCGGAATGCTGTTCCACATGTCATCAATACAGAAATGTAAATCAAATCCACAATGAGAGGTGCACCTGGCTGGCTCAGTTGGAAGAGCGTAAGACTATTGATCTCAGGGTTGTGAGTTTGAGCCCTACACTGGGTGTAGAGAATACCGAAATAAATAAAACTTAAACAAAACAAAACCACAGTGAGGTCTCACTTCATACCCTCTAAGATGGCTACAATAAGAAGTCCAGATAGTAACAAGTGCTGGTAAGGGTGTGGAAAATTTGGAGGCTTCGTGTAGAGTTGGTGGGATTGTAACAAAAACTCGTACACGAACGGCCACAGCAGTTTTATTCACAACAGTCACAAAGCGGAAACAACCCATCAACTGATGAATGAAGAAACAAAACGTGATATAATCACACGCCATTCAACCACAAAGAGGAACGAAGGACTGATGACGTGTGACAGCAAGGATAAACCTTGAAAACGTGATGCTAAGTGAAAAAAGCCAGTCAGAAAGGATCACTTATTGTATGATTCCACTTAAATAATATGCCCAGAATGAGCAAATCCATAGAGACCATCCACAAAGTAGACGAGTGGTTGCCAGAGGAAGGAGGAAATGCGGGTTAACTGCTAAAGGGTATGGGGTTTACTTGGGGATGATAAAAATTCTAAATTCTAAATTAGATATAAGTGGTGGTGGTTGCATAACTCTGTGAATATACTAAAAATCACTGACTTGTACACTTTAAAAGGGAACTTGATGGCATGTGAATAATGTCTCAATAAAGTTGTTACTAAAGAAAAAAGGAGGACTTCCCACACAGGGTTGCTGTTAAGAGTGAAATAAGGCCTCTGGCAGCACCATGCCCGGTATATCCCTGGTGTGGAGCCAGTGCGTGAGAGAGATCTCTCTGAAACGGTAGCCTGGAGAGGATTTCAAAGCACAGGTACCCTAGCATTTTAGAGGGCTACACTAGCCGAGTTCTAGGAGTTTCAGAGACAGGGGGAGGGGGTGGGGGGAGGTCCCATTATGTATAGATCTCCACGGTTTGGACCCCAAACAAAACACACCACACACTTCCCTTACACACACTCCTGACTCAACTTTTCTGGCAATTTCTAAACAAAGCAGTATAAAATAATAAGCACATGACTGTCATCAGCCCTTAAAAAGAAAATGGATTGGGCCTCCAGCCGGAAGGCTGCCTCTGAGGAGGGGCTTGGGATGCTCCCAGCAGAGGGGGCTCCAGACACTGGAGGGGCAAGTGGGGGGAGGCGAGACTGGGGTGGGTGGGGCTCCCTCCAGGCCAAGCCACCTGGGTGAGCCTCTCTGAAGGGAGCAGTCCTCCCCTCCCCCAAGGCCTGGCTCTGCCTGTTCAGCATTTTCTCCCCAAAGGTGCCTTTGAGCCCAAGGCAGAGGACTGGCCTCCTCACCCTCTCCAGTCTACCGGGCCTGGCCAGAGGACCCAGGGCGCCTCCGAAGGAAATGTCTAGAGAGCAGCTGCCTTCACCTGCTGGCAAAGCACAGAGACCAGGATGCTTTGGGGGGAAACATCTTTGTTCTCCCAAGTGTTTGGTTCCACAAGGGCAGAGTGGGCGAAGCCTTTAGAGATCTAGTCTGGACGTTCGTTTCACAAATGGGGTAATTGAGGCTCAAAGGCACCAAGGGGTTTTTGGAGGTCCTGCAGCAAGTGAGCAACAGAATCAGGGGTCAGTCACCTGCTACGGGCTGGCTGAAGCCTCAAAACAACCCAGGGAGGTGAATATTTATCATCCTCCCCCGATACCTCCAGAGATGGAGACGGAGGCACTCACCCAGCCAGGAAGGCATGGAGCTAGGGTTCAAGTCCAGGCCCACCTAGGAACCACAGCAGGTCAGCCGGTGGAAGAGGCTGTTCTGAAAACTAACCCTTCACCCTGCCCCTCACCCAGCACATGTCCCATTACCTGTGGTCGGGAGGCCTGTGTTGGCTGCAAGGAGAGCAGTGTGTGGACTGTGCCGATGCCAGGCTGGGCAGGGGAAGAGGGAGGCAGGAGAGGCCAGGCCACACCCCAGTGACAGGGAGGGGGCGGGGCATGAGTTGCCCTGGGCCCCACTCACTCACCAGGGTGGCATTCCTTCCTGCTGGTGCTATCAGGGGGCCCAGGCCTTCCTGTCTGACTTGAGTCTTGCTCATGACACCCCAGGCACAGCAGTTGGAGCAGCTAAACCCCCAAACCCACCCTCTGGGCATGGCCATGACTGCTGACTCAGGAGGTGGTGACGTAGGGGGTAGTTGCACTGCCCTTGGCCGGGCCAAGCTCTGGGCAGGAAGGAGGTGGGGTGTGTCCCAGATCCCACCTCCACCTCAAGGGTGAGACTGACTCAGGATGCAGCCATGTGGGCCAACCCGATGCTTTCCCAAGGGGTGAGATTGGGCAGGCAGCAGGACAGGAGGCCCGGGGTTCAGAGGACTGGGGGTCTCCTGTGAATGGAACTGGCAGTGCCCTCTCCTGGTGAGGAAACTGGTCCAAGGCTAGAATATCCACTGCTGTGTGCAGACAGGACAACACAGTTCCCACGGGGGTGAGGGGTGGGGCCTGACCTCCTACACTGAGGCCAAGAATAACCCCAGCTCAGCCTGCCTCTGCCTCTTACTCACTTATCAAACACTTTGGAAACAGGATAGTAAACAAGTCCTACACTGCCCAGGGGAGCACCCAGGCCAGATAGAGACAGGCCATGACAGGCCCCATGAGGGCACAGCCCAGGGAGCTGTGGGTTCGCAGGAGGGCTTCCTGGAAGAGGAGTCATTTCAATGCTAAGCTCAGGCCAAAATCTCAGAGTCATCCTTGACTCTTTGCTCTCTCATACTCTGTCTGACATATCTGGAAAACCCTGTTGGCCCCACCTTCAACATATCCCAAATCCAGCCTCCTCTCTCTACTTCCATGGCAGCCACCCTGGTCCAGCCAACATGATCCCTAGTCTCTTTGCTCCTGGCTTTAGCCCAGTGGCTGTCCTAATTGTGACAACCAGAGGGATCCAGTTAAAAACCAAGTCAGCTCATGTCCCTCCTCAGCTAAACACCCTCCCAGGACCCCCACCTCATTCAGGATGAAACTCAAATTCTTGGGGCACCTGGGTGACTCAGTCAGTTAAGTGCCCGACTCTTGATCTAGGCTCAGGTCATGATCTCACTGTTTGTGGGATTGAGCCCTGTGTTGGACTCTGTGCTGATAGGGCAGAGTCGGCTTGGGATTCTCTCTTTCCCATTCTCTCTGCCCCTCCCCCACTCTATCGCATTCTCTTGCTCTCTCAAAATAAACAAATAAACTTAAAAAACAAAAAACAACTCAAGTACTTACACAGCCCTCCACCATCTGGGACCCACCTCTTGCTCTCTCTGACTTTAATTTCAATGACCTCTCTCACTCTGCCCAGCTACACTAAACTGTGCCCCAAACGCTCCAGTTAGGTTCCACCCTCAGGGCCTTTGCACTGGCTGTTCCCTCTTCCTCAAGTGCTTTTTCCTAGCTCCTTTCCTCACTTCTTCAGGTATCTACTCAAATGTCACCTTCTCCAAGAGGTCTTCCCTGACTACCTTGTACAAAGTGGTGACTGCCACCACCACCTTTCCCGGTCATCCTGCTTTATTGTTCACCATGTGACATACTGCATGTTTTTTATTATGCATATTTCCTCATTATGTATTGTTTGCTCCAGGACCTAGAACAGTGTCTGACACATAGTAGGTGCTCAGTAAATTTTGTTGAATGATTGTGTGACCTGAAAGGGAAGCCCAAGAAGCATTGTAAGGGTATTCCAGGCAGAGGGAACCATGTGTGCAAAGGCTTAGAGGTAAGAGGCATTGCTTGTGTTGAGGATCTGCGTATCATTCAGTATAGTAGGAGAGTAGGGGATGCTGGGGGTGGGAGAAGGGAAGGTGAGAGGCAGGGACTCGGAAGCCAGACCAAGGAGGCTAGATATTATCCTGAGAGCAACGGGAGTCACATAAGAGGGACATGATCAAATCTATATTTTAGACAACAATTTGGCTGTCATGTTATGGATTGGTGAGGCTGTGAGGGGCAGGCATCCAGGCGAGCATGAGCCATGGCAGGAGAGATAAGGACTAGGGACAGTGGTCATTGCACTGTCCCAAACAGTAGTCACCAGCCATGTGTGGCTATGGAGCCCTTGAAATGTAGCTGGTCAGAATTGAGATGTGCTGTGAGTGCAAAATACACACCGGATTTCCAAGACTTGCTATGAAACACAAGAATATATAAAAGCTCACTAATAATTTTTGTATTGGTTACTTGTTAAAAAGATATTATTTTGGATACCCTGGGTGAAATAAAATATGGGAAAATTAGTTCTACCTGCTTCTTTTTGCTATTTTTAATGTAGTTATTGGAAAATTTAAAAATTTTTGTGGGTACATAGATCTCACAATCTATTCCTGCTGGACAGCCCTGATTTAGAGGTAGAATAGACAGGGATTGGTTGGTGGACTGTGGGGATGAGGGAGACCCTCAGTTAAATTGCAGGTCTCTCCCTTCCAGCTGCTCCTTTCTGATGAGACTGTGGTCTAGAGGCAGAAAGAACGGGCTACAGAGGAGAGCAGTTAGAGTAAGTTCTCATCTCGACATAAGCACACACACAAAATTCCTGTCTTTACAGTAAGAACTATCCAGAAATGAGACAGGTCATCAGAACAGGCAATGAGTCCTCTGTCCCTGGAGGTAGATAAGAAGAAAACTGAAAACCACCATTACACAGAGGAAAGGAAGTTGAGCTGATTAGTTATTTTCAAAACATGGTCCCTGGACCAGCAGATTCAGCATCGTCTGAAAACCTTTTAGTAATGCAAATACTCGGGTCCCATCTTAGTCCTACTGAATGAGCAACTCTGGAGGTGGGACCCACAATTTGTATTTAACAAGCCCTCAAGGTGCTTCTGATACCTGTTCAAGTTTAAGAATCACTGGACTACAGGAGCTCCTGGGTGGCTCAGTCAGTTGAGCATCCTACTTTGGCTCAGGTCATGATCTCAAGGTTCCCGGGTTCAAGCCCCGCGTCAGGCTGTGTGCTGACAGCTCAGAGCCTGGAGCCTGCTTTGGATTCTGTCCACCCCTCTCTCTGCTCCTCCCCTACTTGTCCTCTGTCTCTCGAAAATGAATAAATGTTAAAAACAAATTTTTTTTTGAAAAGAATTACTGGGGAAAAAAAAAAAGAATTACTGGGCTATAGAATACTTCCTGTCATTTAAAGGTTTCAATGAGTGGCACATAGTAGGTGCTCAAAAAAAAAATCTTCACCTTCTGTTTGTTTCCTAATCCCAGGTGAAGGTACTTCCCCTCTCGGGGCAAATGAAGACTTTACTTCCTGCAGCACCTGGTTGTATGTGAACTTGACATAGGATAGAGGCACAGCCTCAAGGCATTTCCTATCTCTCGGACATGGGCAGATTGCCAGGACTGCGACAGAGCTACCAGAGGTTTAAGGGAGGCTCCAGCTCAGCTCCCTCCTTAGGCGACCTCACTATCCTGTGGGGGGGCTGGGGAGGGGTGGTGATTCATGAGAGAACCTCCCACTGTCCTGTGGGCACAGCTGATGGCCCCAGGGAAGCCAGGTCAGCAGATGAGCGTGGCATCCGGCTTCCCTGCATTCCAGAACTGCCAGCTGGGGGCCCGCCTGATTCAGCAAGCACGTGCACTCTGGAGGCAACAGACAGCGTGTGGCTACGGTCTCCACATCCATATAAATGGGGAGATGGCAGTCCCTATCCACCGTGACACTATTTGTATACAATGCTTGGAGCAGTGTCTGCATACAGTCAGCCCTCAATACCCCTTGGCATTCTTGTGATGAGGCCACCGGGATCTCTCAGGCAGGTGGGAACTACCCAGGGACTTCTTGGGTTTGAGAATTATGCCCTGCAGGTGTAGGGGGGAAAGAATGTGTACCTACTATGAACACCCAGGAGTCTGGTTCTCTATGTGAATTTTTGCTTAATCACCAAATGGACGTATGTGAGGACAGGGCTTGTCTTTTTTTTTTTTTTTTTTTTTTTTTTTTTATGTTTATTTACTTATTTATCAATGTCTTTATTTTTAATGTTTTCCATTTTTGAAAGACAGAGTGCGAACAGGGGTGGGGCAGAGAGAAAGGGAGACAGAATCCGAAGCAGGTTCCAGGCTCTGAGCTGTCAGCACAGAGCCCGAGGTGGGGCCCAAATCTAGGAACCGCGAGATCAAGACCTGAGCCAAAGTCAGACGCTTAACCGACTGAGCCACCCATGTGCCCCCAAATATTTATTTATTTATTTTGAGAGAGAGAGAGAGAGAGAGAAAGAGAGAGCACAAGCAGGGGACAGGCAGAGAGAGAAGGAAATAGAGAATCACAAGCAGGCTCCACACTCAGCGAGAAGCCCTACGTGGCACTTGATCCCACGTCTGCGAGATCACAACTTCGGCCAAAACCAAGAGTCACTTAACCAACTGAACTACCCAGGCGTCCCGAGGGCAGAGCCTGTCTTAATCACCTTGAGACATTTGTTAAATGGACCCTCTAAATCAGGAGGCGTTGTCCCCATTTCATGGACGAGAACATTGAGGGTCAGAGGGCTGAAATGATTTCCAAATCACATAACTAACTGGGAAGTGGCTGGGTCAGGATTCGAAGCCAGGTTACCCTGAACTCAAAGCTGGGATTTTTCTACTCCTCCATGCAGAACCCCCGACCTAAGCTCCTGGTTGAAAAGTCCCTGAGCATGTCATGGAAATCCATCTTTGAGGAGTTAGCCTCTGGCCTAGACTAGAATCTTTGCAACTCCATACTCTCTTTCTGAGGACTCTTAAAGCTTTGAGTCAGCAGTGCAGGGTAAAGATCCAGGAGTGTCTTTGATATGAAACAGATCTGTTATTTACTAACTCTGTGACTTTGGGGGAGGGCAGCCTCAGTTTCCCCATTTGTAGAATGGGGATGATAATATATTTTTCTAAGAAACCAATTGCAAATAGACATCTTTGACACAATCTGGGAAGTGTGAATGTGGATTCAATA